TTACAAACAAATTCATAATTCCACACACAAGGAATTTGACACCACACATATCGTCGGCACTTTGCCTTCGATTTAACCGTATGCTTGCCAGGCATTACTGCATATACAATAACATCAACAGTAAGCGCACTCGAAAAAAGTGGAATCGAAGACGCTTACTTAGCAAAAAATTATTAAATAGAAAAGTACTTACGCTGCGCCGTTTTGTACATAAATAAAACTACATTTAAAATATTAAAATAAATAACACAAATATATATAATAATTATAAAACATTTAGTAAATAAGAAAGTACATACGCTGCGTCGTTATGTACCTAGGTTAAGTTGAAAGTAAAAACCTAAATAAAAATAAGAACAAGAAATGCACTCATAAGAAGCGCACCAAGTTCTCCAACCATACAACCATTCTTTTATTTTTAAAATAGTGATCTATTTTATAATAAGGAACGCCAATAAATAGCGGCGATTTAATAACTATTACTTGTAACGATTACAGTAAGGCGTCACCATTATCCAGGAAATGCGATGAAAAAGACAAGACTGCTCTAAAAGAGCAAACTGTGATGTATACTACAGCTGCCATGTAAATAGGCGTGAATTTGGATGCGATTTTGGTCAAACTGCCGAAATATTTAGCCTCCATGAATCAACCTCCAAAAACGGTCTGATGCTACTTGATTTTCCTGTGCTACGAAAAATGGTAGTATGTAGCACCAAATTCCCACACCGTGGTATTTATTAGGCATCGTGGATATCTGCAAATCAATCAACTCGAAACCAGATTGATTGACGCAAGACATGGTTCAAGTCTGCTGAACGTACGTTTATTCTGTAGTCCAAATATCGACTCAGACCACTACCTTAGTACCGCTAACAACATACGCTCTCGTGTACAAGAGACAGCCGAAGTCTTCACCGCTTAACTCTCTAGTCGATTAAACAACCAACCTTCTCGTCCCGATAATACCGTTAGACAATGGAGACATATCTCTCACTCTCTACGCACAACTGCAGAAGATGTCCTTGGTTTCCAACGTCCCCTTTGACGCAACTAATGATATGACGAGGAGTATCGTCACACTACTCCTGCGAAAAACGCGGCCTGTAAAAAGGAACTGCAGTCACCAGCTTCGCGAGCCGTGCGTGAACAATATCGGAAGATGAGGAAGATAGAGAGCGTCTTTACAGACGGAAGAAACAAGATCAAGAAAGGCGTGAGCGAGAGGAAATCGAGGTGTGTAGAAACAGGAATAATGACCGTAAATTTTATCAAAAACTCAACCTTCTGAATGAAAGTTTTAAGCCTGGTGCGTCAACGTGTAAGGACGAAAATGGTAATCTGGTTACAGATACGCAGAGTGTACTGAAAATATGGAAAGAACATTGCTCTAAACTGGAGCCCCCAACAGAAAAAGATGGTGTTTAAATTCCACCACCTAGCCATAACGAAATGAGTGTTGCTTTACAACAACAACAACTAAAAAACAACAAAGCGGCAGGCGCAAACGGACTACCTGCAGAATTGTTTAAGACCGACGACAATATGCTGATAGGGTGCATGCATCAGCTTATCTGCAGAATATGGTTATATGAAATTTTGTCAAGTGATTGAAATCTTAGTATTCTTTGTCCTGTTTTGAAAAAAAATGATCCAGCGATTTGCGCCAACTATTTCGGGATGAGCCTAATACCTGTCGCGTACAAGGTTCTTTCAACTGCACTCTGTGAAAGATTAAAGCCACATTCCAACTCACGGCATTACGGCATTAATATAATTCATCGAATTAACATCCAGCAGCTTCGCTGACTTAGTCATGTCGTGAGAATGGGTGAAGATGCTCCGACGAAAAATCAAGTCAAGTTGAAGGAGCACTAACTGGACTTGATGTACGAGACTGGAGAATGCGCCCACGCAGCAGAGGCGCCTGGGGAGACATGATGCGTCAGGGCGAAACTCTGTAACGGGTTGTTATGGCCAAATAAGTAAGTAAGTAATAATGTCAGAGAGCATATCTGCCTACCTTGACAATTCATCTGCCCAGGCGTTGCCCGAGATGTCTCTGTGTCAAGGTACTAATGAAGATCACGAATGAGGAATATCAGGTACCCATATTTACTAGAATATCAGGATCTGTGTTTGTTGATTTTCATCTGTTAATATTCAATCCACCATCCCAGTTGTTAAGAAGTCAAGGTTCTTTGATCAACAGAATATCCGCTCTTTGGCAGTCAGTCGGAGAATGAGGACTGCTAAGGCCTCCTCAAGAATATTGCAGATTTATTTGCTCAACCCTCAACATATTAAATATTTTCGATGACGTTACTGTTCGCATTGTCCTCATCCGATATCGGTGAGAGTTCTGAAAACAGCGCCATTCTATTGAAAAGTTCGTCTACTAGTTCAAAAGATGATATACTTCTGTCTCCATCTTCGGAGGAGAGAGTGCTTATTCCTTCGGTAATTCTGTCTTTGGAATTTTTAAATCAGCGATTGTGTAGTTTC